ATAACCATAAGAACATGGACATGTAAGAGATAACAATGATGATGAGGGCTAAGAACATTTATTTTTGGTATAAGGAGATCGTAATTATTTTTAGTCGTTAGATGTGAAATCCAATAGATGAAAGTGTGTCACAATATTTGAGGCATTTTATTTTGAAACTTGTGCTCGATCAATGACACATCCTCAACCGCCTAATTTAAAATCTAACGGTCAATGATGATTGTGACCTTCTTGTATCAAAAGTGAATGATCTCATTGTATATATTTTCTAACGAAAAAGTTTGTATAAGGCTGTAACCTTAAAATGTAGAACCACGGATGCACCTCAAAAATCCATCGGAAAAGGTTATTTTAATATTGAAAAACGTTGTGATTGATCATCTCGACATCGAGATGTATGACTATGAAAAATAAAAATATTTTGAATCTAAAAAATAGTGCATACAACATATTATCTACACCGTCCATTTTCAAGATTTTCATATGTTTATAGATTTACTTGATTTTAACAATTTTTGAAATTTAAAATTTTATAATTAGATATAAAAATAGATTTATGAGATAATCCTAAGAATATTTTACATCAAAATTATATGTTATGATAAAATTTGAAAGTGCACCTTAATTGGATTGTATAAGGTTGCAACCTTATGGAATCCACACCCTATATTTTCCAATTGAGAAGGGGACTTTGGATGGCCGCCCATGCTTATTCTTCCTGCTCCAATCAATGTTTCAAGCATAGTTATTGGCGGGACCAAATCAACCGATCATACCAACGACTGATAACTTGGCCGGTCTGTGCCAAGGTCAGATCTGGGCTTTAATCGGGTTGACCAATGGGGCAAGTGGTTCTAAGACATTTGTATTGGAAGCTATAATGTGTATTTGTTGTTTTTTTTTCTTTCTCAAATCCAGTTTAACTGGTTCGACGAGTGATATGATCAGTATTGATTGGGCCAAACTCTTCACCAGTTTGATAGGCGATCGGGTAACGACATAAGCACCTAGCGACCTGAGTTGGATATCGGATTTCTAAAAAACTGATCCACGAAAAAAAGGAAACAATAATTTTTGATAAAAAAGAAGAAAAAAAGATAGAAATGGCATGGGGTTCAGGATTTACTAGAGTCTCAACAACTAACCACCAGGTTATAGACAACAGTGGGTGATTTCATGGTTTTGAGCCACTGGAATCAGAGTCCCGAAGTTCGAGCTAACTCAGATGATTCTGATTCTCAAGCCTTTGAATTTTTGACTAAAACTACAATATAAAAGCAAAATGAGTTCTTCTATCCCATTGTCCCCAAACAATGTTTAAAAAACTGATGGGCATAAAACCATTCTTTTAAATCCTAGATTACGATGCCAGATTGGTCACCTGTTGGACTGATCTGGATCGCCTATTCCAGCCATAACAACCCAATTCTCCAGTGCAAGAATCAATCCAAAAAATTAAATTAATAATATTAATTTAAAACAAAAGTTAAAAAATTTTAAAAATTAAAATGGGTGAAAACCTAATGCTTTGGGCAATCCAAACTGCTTGATTCTCCTCTGACTGAATTAGGTGGCTCGTACAATTCTCTGACTGAATTAGGTTAGTCTATCAAAATCAAACTAATTCCGAATTAATCGGAGTTGGGTCCCCATGAATTTCAAAGTCACAACACCATGACAAACATGTTAAGGAGCCTGAAAGAGTATGACAAGAAAAGAGGAAGAGGGCACTGGCAAGAAAGAAATAAAATAGAAGAGTAAAAAGTGGGGGAGGTTTTATTTGCTAAAAAGCCTCTGAGGAATACTTCAAGAAATTCCCATAAAGAAAACACTGACTATTTTCCCATTGACCAAGGGAAATATAATTGATTAGTGAACTCCAAAAAGATGACACTCATTAATAATAATATAATAATTAATTTATTTCAAATCTTTATGGGTGGATGCGAGGCATGCATCGTTTAGACACTTGATCCTTTTCCATTCCTAAAAATAATTATTTTTAATATTCCCAATACAAGTATTGTCTGTATGGGACTAAATAATTATTTTTAATATCCTCAATACAATTATTAGCTGTATGGGACTAGGAGATTTGACTTATCTCAACTGGCACACAACTGGGTTAGGAACATTTGGGAGATAAGACACCAAAAAGAATAATATAACTCACTATTGAGGCGTGGATGGTGATTTTAAGTCCCTCTTTCCTAAATCCAAAGGGCAAGAACCCCAAATCCCCAATATAGGACCACTATTATTTGTATTTATATTTATAGAGCATTAATTAATTGCTATTAGGGACCATATACTATACACTAGTGTGGGGTACCCTAACCGACCATCCACTATCTGTACTTATCAACGGCCGGCTGAGGTCATATGTTGTTTTTTAGTGAGACTTAACAACAAGATCATGACTTCTACTTAACAACAAGATCATGACTTCTTCTTCTTTTTTATTTGATATATTAATAGCGGGAATGGAGGAAGGGGCGTAATGTTAAGATTTGAAGTAGTTTGGTTAATTGCCAGCCATATGTTGTTAAGATCTGACGTAGTTTCGGTACCCAAGGAGTCGTAACGGTAGCATCCCCACACTCAATTACCACATCGCATTCAAATGTAACTCCTCCAATCTATTAAAAAAAAGAAGAAGATAGGGCCTGTCTTCTCTATTGAAATACACAAAAAAAAACATAATAGGTAACGAGTATGATATATTATCTTGTTAAGTTTAAGAAAAAATATCGTACAAGTGCAGTATTAGGTATTCATAGTCAACATCCATTTTTCTTGGTTATCGTAGTACGAAGTTGATTTTACTTAAAATATAATAAAAACCAAATATCTATGGCGTACTAAGCTTGCCAAATCTGGACCGTCCATTCATAATCTAGTCTCCTCCTACGACAAAAGTGGCCATACATTGCTTTTTTGCCCTTTTGAAAACGTTTAAATTTTTTTATTAATAATAAACAATTTTATACAACCAATTATATCACAAAGAGCATGTACCATACATTGAGTTTGATGAGTCAATCTACACATAAGACTGGCTTGTGTAGCACTCCACATAAAACAATAAGAAAAGGAAAATGGTTTGATAGGGCTGCATCCCTATAAAAAAGTAAAGCCTCACATCAAAAAGTCACATAAAATTGTAAATCTTGTATCAGAAAATCTTCAAATCGAGCATCTCCACCTTCACCATGTAATTGTGAAAAAAAAAAAGATTTCAAACCCTAGAAATAGTTTATATTATAACACATTATCTAGTCCAATCATTTCAATTTAAAAATAAATGTACCCAGATCTACAAGATCTGTACTAGTTTTTGAACTTCAAACTTTATAATCATGTTGGAAATTGATTTTGGAGTCATCATGGTTATAAAAATTACATCTTTAAAATGGATGTGATCAAATAACAATGGGCTCAAGGGCATGTTGCTTATTGTTTTTATTAAGAGAGCCCGTACCGTCCAGAGTTATTTATGCAAAAGATTCATATTCGATCATGTCCCATGCTCCTCTTGTGCGAGCATACTATTCACTTACTTCCTCAGGTGAAAAAATTACCTAGGAGGGTTTTTTAATATGAAATTTTGGTGGAACCACTTAAAAGCCACCAGATGATTATTTCAATAAAAGAATTCGAATTTAATTATTTAATACTTAGATCTGGCTACATAAAAGCAAAGTGGTTTATGTGTAATTTTAGAACCACTTCTTTCAGGCTCATAGATAATGCATTTCAATTTCTTTCTTTTTTCTTTTGGAGTTCGTCACTTCTTTCGATAAAAAATTTTGAGTTCCTAAAAGTATGCCTACAGTAAGATTTATTAAGAAAGTAAATAGATGAGCAAAATCTTTTTATCTTCAAATAAAATTTATAGAAGAGACCATTTATTTTTGTGGTAAGGAGGTCACAATCTCTTTTATCTATTAAATTTCAAAAAAAACTATCATTGACTAGACTCAAAATTTAATTTTCTTTTTAGAACTTTGTGATACATCCCAAACCATCCAATTTAACATCTAATAATTGAAAATAGCCGTGACCTCCTCATGTCAAAAATAAATGATCTCATAATATTAAGTTCCCGATAATAAACTCCATACATCAATTTGATAAAAAAGACCAGTAAATTGATCAAAAATATTTTTTTTTGGATCGAAGACAAGTTCTTCGCACAACAAATTTTCAGGCCAAAATTAACCCCAAATATCTTGTTTTTTGAACAAATTAAAACATGGATATGGTAACCAATTCGATTATAATTTAAAACCCTCATTTTTCATCAATTATCGTTAACTATTAAAGATGAAATTAACGAAATGGCCGATCGAATTAGGGTTCTTCAAGCAGCTTGAACACAGGTTCTTCAAGCAAATTTTCGGGCCAGAATCAACCCCCTATATCTTGCTTTTTGAACAATTGAAACAAAGATACGGTAAACAAATCGATTATGATTCAAAACCACGAAATGGTGGATCAAATTAGGGTTCTTTGAGCAGCTTGAACACAGGTTCTTCGAACAAATTTTCGAGCCAAATTCAACACCCTATATTTTGTTTGTTGAACAAATTGAAACATGGATATGGTAACCAATTCGATTATGATTCAAAAATCTCAAATTTAATAAATAATCGTTACCTATTGAAGAAGGAATTGATGAATGGCAGAGTAGAAAATCAGCCACTTCAATCCACAAGAACTACTGTTTTTTTAATCTTTGATTCAAATTTTGTTGTTTTATAGACAATCAATATGGTTTACAACACTAAAGCATCAAAAAGACCAAAAAATGGCAAGGAAATCAAATAAAAAAAGCAAGAAAATTTGATTCACAAATCCTGCTGCAAATAGCGGGCTCTATTTAAAAAAACAGCCATTATTTCGTTTTGCCCTTTTTTTTCCAAAAAACACTGTTTTCACATAAAACCGGTTCGGTTAGATCAAAACCGGCCGATTAGACATAAATACGGCCGGTTCAACCCCAAACCAGCAGATTTTAAACCCGATAATTTTCTGAGAGATGGGTCTAAGTATTGGTAACCCAAAACCGGCCTAACCGGAGTTGGAACCATGGCGGTTCCGATCTAACTGGCCTGTTCCGGTTCAAACCGCCCGGTTTTACGAACACTGATCCATAAAAAATGTTTTTGCTTTGGCTATGGCTTCATCGATGTTCTGCAGCTTCCTCTCAATACTGAAAATAAAGAAATCCGATTTAACTTAACAAATATATTCTACCAAATCACCTAAAGAACATTGAATTGTTAGCATATGTTACTTAATCATAAAGAACCAACGATGGCAAGGAAAAATGAACAAATATCAAGTAGACCTCGGAGTACAGGATGGATATTGGAAACATAAATTTTATGGCTATTTAACATTTTACCCATAATTTTTGAATAATTTCCAGACTACCCATCATTCTTTTGATAAAATTTCAAAAGAATGATGCAGTTTGAAAATTGATAAAAATTTATCAACTTACACCAAGGGTAAAATGTTAAATAGGTTCAAATTTTAGGTGTATTTTGATAAATTTTCCTAACTGCCTTTCCTCCACCGCCATTTTGCATTTAGATTTAGGACTGTCTCAAGGCAAATATGTTTCATCATTGGGGGGAGGGGGGAGAGAAAACGCATGCTGGAAACTCATAGGCAAGTGATCTCCTGGCACATATATACCACACTGTACCCAGACTAAAGAGATTTTTCACCTCTCAACCAGTCATGGTGAGACAGGCAAGCAAGCTAAACTTCATTGCACACAAATATTTTCTTGGGTAAATTAAGATTCAATCAAGAAAACTTGGGTAAAAAGTCATGCATACAATAGTAAGTCACCTATGAGGAAGTTCAGAATCTGCACTAGCTTCACTGAGAATCCGTTCGAATTCTTGAATGTTTTGCCTCAATTCACGTTGGAGCTTGTTACACATTGGATGCATCGCAATACTAGGATAGTAAGTTCAAGAACAAATTATCTTTCACTTTTCTTCACCACAGCATCATGAATCTCTTCTTTATGCTCCTAGGACCAAAGGCAGTAGCTCCCAAATACATGCTCACATGATTTCTCCATTTCGTCGCTTAGACTAGCATTAGCAGGATCAATTCCCTTGTCATTTCCAATTCCATCTGTTTCCAATTGCAAGTTCAAAAATGTAAACCCTCAAGTTTGTTGAAATCATGTTAAGAGATTCAAGGAAAAATGATGCAAGGTTTTCACCAAGAAATGCTTACATTTACGTGAGGAATGGTGCTCTCAGCTCGCTTCTCAGCCAGTTGAACCAGATCTGGCTTCCCTGTTAATTTGAGAAATGGGACATTGCTTTAGAAACAAAACCACCATAACAAGCATACAGTATCTTAGAATTCATGTCATGGAATTATACCTTTTTGTTATTGGTGCTGCTATTGGTACTACCATGAGCCTCAGAGATGGAGATGTTTCCTGTCCACAAGATAACATTATATTAGCAAGCACAGCCAGCCAAAAGCTCATTCATCATACGAAATGAGTATGTAGTCCTAAATGCTAAACCCTCTGTAGTGTTTTCTCAACACTCGACTTGGGGGTTGGTGTCACTTGTTGATTGCCCTTGGAACATGTTGCGCTACTTAACTTCAGCTGCTAAACACTCAAGCTCAATCCCTCAATTCCTTGTAAACATAATATTTTGCTCAAAATATTAAATCTACGGATGTATTGCCGCTCTGGGCAAAAGTACTAAGACATTTTAGACGTGCTAGAAACCGACACTCATACTAGCGTCCATTCAACACTGACTCCTAGGCAAGTGCTGTAGGAAAATTGATAGAAGAACAAGAATCAGCAATAATTCAGGTCAAACACAAGCAATAACTTGGAAAAATCTAGGATTTCCTCCACATCCCAAGCTAGGGTTCCAAAAACTTAAGCTTTTCTTTCTTTTTCCATTCTGAAAATCACATGGAATGACCACTCAAGGGCCCCACACACTTCTTATTTAATTGTTCAAAAGACAATAATTATCCGTACAAAGTATAAATTACTCATACATTCTAACTTAAGTGATTGTTAAAATAAATGACACTCACTATAAATAAAATAAACTAAAAAATTCCAACTAGTCCAAAAATTTAAAAAAACTGAAAATCACCCTTAAAAAAACTAAAAATCATCCCAAGCAATGCTTGCTCTTCTTGTTCTTGTAGCCCTCCTAGCATTTTCACCCACCAAATATGCATGGGAATTAGGAGAAACCCTAAAAGAAGATCACTCATCGCCTTGAATACTTGATGACTTTGTGCATCATCGCAAAGCATCTATAAAACCATGCCTTAATGGAAATTCTATAGTTTTTATTAGGTAAGTTTTTTTATTTCTTTTAATCAGTAGTAAAGCACTTCTACTAAAAGACTAAGGGCGTTTTGGATGAGTGAGAGTTGAACGTCCTACTTCCATGTTTAATATTACAGAATGGAAGCTGCAAAGTGGAAGGGCGGCTTTCCTCGCAGCATTTTTTTAGCATCAAAATGGGTCCAGTTTTGGAAGGTCTCCCTTCCATCAAAGATCAAAGAAGGGCAGTCCTCCATAATTTGTGGGAGACTCCCTTCCACTCTCAAAAACTCCGTGTGTCAAAAACACCCTAAAAGTGGGAGTTGTGAGGGGAACAGATGCAACAACTGGAAAGCATCAATATTTCCAAAAAGTAGGGTAGAAAGGTCTAGGGAACAAAGTTCAGGAAAAGGGATGGATCAAGGTTTTAGAGTGGAAGTGCGATACAAAATACAAAGTTCCTGCAACTACTAGGCCTTTAGGTGTTGGAATATTATGGCATAGTGAGGCCTAGTGCGGTGAGGTTTTGAACATACTAAGAGTGATTTTTGCTTGCGGTGATACCATGAAAATTCATCATCTTCATCATAGCCTTTCCCAAATAATTGGATCCTGACCCGCCCTTCTGGTCTATTAAAGGCCATACCCTCAATCTCCATATCTTTTTGGACTCGTTCCAACCACGTCCTTTTGAACCTACGCCTTGCCCTTTTTAATCCTTCCACTTGAACTAAATGGGTGCTGGAGTGGGTCAGCGCCACATATGACCAACCCATCTATGTCTACTCTTTCTCATCTTATTATCTATTGAAATGGCACACCTAAATTTTCTAGATGGATTCATTTTGAATTCTATCCCTTCTTGTTTTTCACTCATCCATCTCAACATCCTCATCTCTGCTACACTCATTCTATGGGTATATTATTTTTTGTCCACCCAACATTCTATCCCATAGAGCAAAACTGGTCTCATAGCTGTCCTATAGAACTTCCCCTTCAGCTTCATTGGTATGCAGCAATCATATAAAATTCCAGTTGTACATCTCCACTTCTCCCATCCAGCTCTAATTCCATGTGAGACATCTTCCTCAATCTCTCCATTTTCTTGGATTATTGACCCAAGATATCAAAAATGCGATCTTTTTTGTACTTCCTGACTTTCAATCGTAACTACTTCTTCGTCTCTACTACTATTATTACTAAACTTGCATTCTATATATTTTGTCTCAATCCGACTAATTTTAAAACCTTTGGATTCTAGAGCATCCCTCCAAAGTTCTAACTTTGTATTGACATTGTTTCGGGTCTCATCGATCAAAACTAAATCATCTGCAAACAACAGGCACCACGGTACCTCATCATGTAGGTACTTAGTTAAGTCGTCCATAACTAAGACAAAGAGGTACGGGCTCAATGCTGATCCTTGATGTAGATCTGTTGTCGTTGAAAACTAACTCGTCTCTCCACTAGTTGTTCGTACTATAGTTACCAAAATCGCCTACGAGGGTAGCGATTCCGTTTTGGAATCTCGATTCGACGTTTCCTCAGGCAAAAGTCGATTCTAAAAGAAAGGAATCACATTTCCATTTTTAGTGGAACGCGATTCCACTTAGTTTAATAATCTCGATTCCTCGATTGTCGGAATCAAGATTCCATATCGAGCACTTTTTGATTCTTAGCTACACAAGAATATGATTCTGCTTGTGAGAAATGTTGATTCCAATTTTTTTGGAATTGCGAATCCATGTTGTTTGTAATCAAGTTTCTATATCGCAGACATCGTGATTCCTTGCTACACAACAATGCGATTCCACTTATGCTAAATGTTGATTCAAAATATTAAGGAATTGTGAATCCATGTTGTCAGGAAGCAATGTGAGCGTAGGGAGAGCAGAAACCCTTCGATGTGTGTTCAATCATGAGTGAGCGCGACATGTATGAGAGCGTAAGGGAATTTGAAGTCGTTGCACACGGCAATCAAATAAAATATGAGTAATATGTGAGCATAGGGAGAGCAGAAACCGTTTGATGTGTGCTCAATCATGAGTGAGCGCGACATGTATTAGAGCTTGAGAGAATTTTATTTTCTTATTTACTAATTTTCATCCTCCATTCCATGTTACTTTTTAAGAACTCTTACCAAGAATAAATAATACTAAAAAAACAATTTACTTCAAATATAATAATGTTTGGTAAATGGTGTGGGTACTAAACTACTAATGTAATAATGTTTAATATATGATCGACACTCTCATTTCTTCAAGTTGAATAAGAGGATAAAAATGCTTTTCTTTAAGAGATAATAAGGATGTGAGCGAAGTGCCATGTGTGGTGTCTTAGGTTCAATTAATCATTAAATATCAAAGAAATTGACTAAAAATTGAATAACTCAATTTTCAAAAGTCAAAAGACTCAAAACTACATTAAACAAAGAAGAATTACTATGTTATGTACTTATTTTATAATTCAAGGAAAGGAGATAAAGGGAGTTTGCCCTTGTTCTCACTCCTTGTATGCCATAGACTAGCTTTAGACCTCTTAGGCATAATAGGGATCGAGTCCATTGTATGGGATTGTCCACAAAGATATCATAAAGGTTGACATTAGTATTTGGAGTCTTGGACTGAGTATATACAGACCAAAATTCGATCTTGTAGTAATGGGTAAATTTATATATTTTCTAAATACTCTTCCCATATATCGGAGGGAATTGGTTCGCAATTCTAGTAAGGGGAGAATCTCGATTCCAATATGGGGAGAATCACGATTCCAAAATGGTGAGAATGTTGATTCCAAGTTGATGGGGACAACGATTCTAGAATTCTAGGAATCATGATTACTTATTTTTAGGAACCACGATTCTATAGTTTTAGGAATCACGATTCCAGCAACCACCGAAACCAGTGGAGTCATGTGTGATTCCATATCGGTATGAAACACGATTCCAACATGAAAGGATATCGATTCTTGCAAATAGGAAACACAATTCTTAATTTTTTAAATAGTGATTCTGAAATAGTGAGAATCATTTTTCTCAAATCCGAATCGTACAGACAACGATTCTTAGATTGAGAAACTTTTGATACACGCGATTCTGATTCCAAAAACGATTAGGAATCACATATGTTTCCAACAACTATAGTTTGTACACTAGTTAACGCTCCATTGCACATATCTCTCACCAAGTCGGTGTAGTGTCTAGAGACTCATTTCTTTTCCAACAC